CTTTTGGCTAAGTTCGAGGTGAGCGGCATCTGGAAAATGAGTACGTTTTCCTGCGTGCCACCTGCTGAAACTTCTTTGTTGCACCCCAATCCCCTTAATATTACTTTTTGTTCTTTATCGGACAATCTTTAAGTCAATAGTGCGCTACAAGTTCTTTAGCGAGGCGAAGATCCTGAACGTCAAAACTTAATATTGCGCCAGAAACGTCGACTAAACAATCCGAACCTCAGCACCCCAACCCTCTTCAAAATCACATTGACCCCCCTTGGAAATCACATTCTGCCCTTTTGGCCCAGAATCTTAAACTACGAACTAATTCCCAAATGCTTTCACACACTTAGTCGTTGGAAGAGGTGAGGAGGCGCTGCAATCCGAATAGAAATGCCACACACTGAGTCATTGGAAGAGGTGAGGAGGCGATGTAAGCAGGACAGTAATGCCTGCCAGCAATGATGTAGGAGCTAATTTCAAACTTGGAAATATTGTGTATATAAGGACCTTGCCATCGTACAGTTCTCACTCTCGCAGATGTGAAGCATTGCAATTGTGGTGCATCTTTATCCGTCAATACGGCAGTTGAGCGAGAAATAAAATCAATGCGCAGGGGTAAGGCATCACACATTTTCAAGGTCTAGCATCATACGCAACATAACGGCGACTGAAAACTCACGACACAGGCGCCGACAATTATTATTCGTTGTTAACTGTCATTTCCGCATTGTATGAGACTCCAACTGGATTTTGCGCTCGCGCACCCATGACAGACCCGGTGTCGACCCCTTTTAGCGAAACGAAATAGGCATCAAGAATCGCAAAAGCGAGGATGACGAGTGCACATTAAATGTTTTTGCGACCCTATAAGCGATACGTCAAGGCTTCGTGCGCCCCTTTTAGTGGAAGTCGTAAGAGGTGAGGAGGCGTTGTAAGCCAGTTATAAATTCCGTCGAGCGAAGGTGGAGGAGGAAATCTATAACTACGAATCAATTCGCACATGCTTTCTCATAGTGTGTCGTCGAAATGGTGAGGAGGCGCTTTAAACCACCACTCCCTCCTACAATAAGAAATCGCCCCCCCCTGTTCGCAGCCCGTCAAGGATGCGTTTTCCCCCTTTTGAGACATGGAGACATTTTTTCATTGTCCTGCGTTATACCGGTCGGGTCGTTTGGTCGTTGGAAGTCTCGAACAATGCAGGAAGGTGCAGTTGTGGCACTTTGGGGGGGGGTGGAAGTTTGTCTGAAAAATGGGGGACCGGTAGCTGTCGGTGATATTTTTTCCCCTTCGAGACATGGAGATATTTTTTCGTCGTCCTTCGTTATACCAGTCGTGTTGTTCGATCGTTGGAAGGCTCGAAAAATGCAGGAAGGTGCAGGTGTGGCACTTTGGGGGGTGATGGCAGTTTGTCCGAAAAATGAGGGACCGGTAGCTGCCGGTGGGACCGCGCTTTGGGTTTCTGTCGAAATCGAAACGGTGGCAAAGCAGGGGCAAATGGAAAGGGCGCAAGGGGCCGGGGACAGGGGCTGAAAAGTCCAACAAAAGTGTGCAGGCTTGGGCAGTGGTTGAAATGACACTTCCGTCCGATAAAAGTGCTTAGGCTTGGGCAGTGGTTGAAACGACCCTTCGGACTTGCTCTCTCTCTCTCTCTCTCTCTCTCTCTCTCTCTCTCTCTCTCTCTCTCTCTCTCTCTCTCTGTGTGTTTATCAATCAAGCATATACAAACTTCGTGCTGCGCACCCATGCCCTCACCGAAAGTCAATGAGTTACGGCGGGCTCTTAGGGAGGGCGGCGACCGAAGGTCGAAACGTCGGGCCTAGTCTCACAATTTGACATCGACAACTTTGCCGATTTTTCTCGCTTAGAAGAATTCACCAAAGTTCTAAAAGTTTGAGGGTTCTTACATTCGCTCGTGGTTCTTCCAGGAAAAATATCAAAAACATTTTAAAAAATCATTTCAACCTCCAAACAACCGCAGCGCCGATGTAGTGCCTGTTCGACTTATGTTACAATGTCATTTGTGGAAGAGGCTTCCAGCAAAGTTGGAGTACCCATTTTCAAACTCGAAAACATTCCGCACATAAGGACCTTGCCATTGTAGAGTTTCCACTGTCGCAAATGTGAATTATTGCAATTCTGGTGCATCTTTATCCGTCAATACGGCAGTTGAGAGAGAAAAAAAATTGAAGCGCAGGGGTTATGCATCACACATTTTAAAGGTCCAGCATCAGACGTAACATAAGGTGATTGAAAACTCACGGCACAGGCGCCAGCAAGTATTATTCGTTGTTAACGGTCATTTCCGCATTGTATTAGATTGCAACTGCATTTCGCGCTCGCACACCCATGGCAGACTCGGTGTCGACCTCTTTTAGCGAAAAGGAATTGGCATCGGGAATCGCAAAAACGACGACGACGAGTGCACATCAGATGTATTTGCAACCCTTGTAGCGACACGTCAAGGCGTCGTGCACCCCTTTCAGCGACACGTCAACACTTCGTGCACCCCTTTTAGCGGAAATAGCAAAAGGCTAAAAGCGGAAGTCGGAAGACGTGAGGAGGCGTTGTAAGGCAGTTACAAATTCCCTAGAGCAAACCTGGAGACTACATCACACACACATTAAACGAAATGTGTATTCTTGAACTACGAATCAATTCGCACATGCTCTCGCACAATGCATCGTCGAAAAAGATGAGGAGGCGCTTTAAACCACCACTCCCTCCGACAGCAGCAAATAGCTCCCCCCCCCCCCCCGGCCCGGTGAGTTCCGGCGGGTTCTTAGGGAGGAAGACGACCAGAGGCCGAAACGGCGGCCCCAGTCTCGCAATTTGACAGCGGCAACTTTGGCGTTTTTTCTCGCTTGGAAGAATTCACCGAAAATTCTGAAAATTCGGGGGTTCGTAGATTTGCTCGTGGTCCTTCCAGGGAAAATATCAAGAATGTTAAAAAAATTGAATTAGACCTCCAATTAACCGTCGCGCCGATTTGGGGCACGTTCGAGCTATGCTACAATGCCATTTGCGGGCCAACAGGGAAAGTTATACAACTTCAACGGTTTTTCGCGGTCCGAAGAATGCGTCACAGACCTCCAAAATTGGAGGGTCAGTAGATTTGCTCGTGATTTTTTCATTGATTTTTTTTTTCTAATTGATAATCATTCGGACCACGAAGTAAATCGTGGACACGATTCGACATATTTTTAATTCGGCCCTGCTGACGGTTCTCGAGTCTGTACCACGGACAACCCTAATGAACCTGTGCTACCGTTTTCTTGACGTCAGACGGAGTGGTGGTTTAAGCAGGGTAGAAATGAATGATAGCAAAGATGGAGGAGTCAATTTCACTATTGGCAATACATGACACAAAAAACAATCTTTTTTCACGATGTATCCTTTTTTCGATAAGACAGAAGGTAATCATTGCGGCAAAATATCATTTTTTGCGAACTTGCATAAATGATCAGTCTTCCGGTGACAACGCAAAAGGTAACAATTTTGCGCAACCATCCATTTCGACGAATGCCGCATATCGATCCTTGAGCGACAAACAAGGTCGAAGCACAGGGGTCAAACACACACACAGTCTGGCAATAACACAGTTGATGATCATTTTTGGTCAACTTGCAGCAGTGAACAAATTTCTGGTGACAACACAAAAGGTAATCATTATGAAAAATTTATAGATATGAACGATCTTATCACAAATGTATGGCTTCTAAATTGGGAATATGTTCGCATTTGTCATAAGGAAGCAACAGTAAGCATTCAGTGGAGACTACGACATATATTCTGGCGATAACAAAATTGGTGATCATTTACTTTAGCACTAAATTTTGTGGAGTCCATAAGACAAAATCAAGCATACATACAATTTGGCAATAATTGATTTCCGAATTGCGAAGAAGTTCGCAATTGTCACATGGAAGCAACAATCAACATTCACCGGAGACACGAAGGAGGGTGCTTGCGGGGAGGAGGGCACAGCAGAGAAGGTGAACCGAAAAAATGGGGTGGTAGGGAGAGAAGGGGGGGGGGGGGGGGGGGGGGGGGGGGGGGGGGGGGGGGGGGGGGGGGGGGGGTTATTTCAGACCGTTAAGTCTCACGTAAGAAACTGTGTTACCGCGCGTTCATTGAACGGGCGTTTCACGTTCAGGTTTAAACGCGGTGAATGCTCGTTCACTGAACGCGGCTGAACGCTTTTAACGCGTTCGCGCGGAAGCCATGTAGTGTTGGGGGCGGCAGGTTTGGGGTATAGGGGGGACTGGGTGGCGGGGGAGGGGCCAACGACTCTGAAAAAAAATAAAAAACGACCAAGTAATGGCCAACAAAAAAAAATGAAGCATCCATATGCGGCACAAAAACTGTGGCCACATGCACTCTTTTTTTTTATTGGGGCGGGGTAGGGGAGTCGCCCTAACATGGCTTAGAAGGCCCATGCAGACTATCTGAAGGGTCCTCGCAGACATGTAGCGCAGACCACCCCACCAAAATCGAGGCAGGTAGTGAATATGAAATAGAGCACGAGCTGACCGAATATATACGTGAGATTCGAATTCAGGGTTGTGTTTCGGCAGTTATGGGTTGCTCACGTAGCTAGGGCCTGTTGGTCTTTGCACGTAACTCTTAAGGCTTGGCTGCACTACTCACCAAATGTGAAAAACTAGAATGAATCTTCTGCAGAACATGGAATAATACGCCGTCGTATATTTTGTCTTTTGAGCATATGGTGAGTTGAGGCCCTTAGGGTCATTCCACGTATTGCTAAGAAAAGAAAAACGAGAAAAAAGAATAACGATAATTTTTTCTCGTTTTTCTTTTCTTAGGAATACGTGTAGTGGCCCTAAGGGCCTCTACTCACCACATGCACAAAAGACAAAACATATGGCGGCGTATTATTCCATGTTCTGCAAAAGATCCATTCTAGTTTTGCACATTTGGTGAGTAGTGCAGCCAAGCCCTAAGAGTCACGAGTAGAGACCAACATGCCCTACCTACGTGAGCAACCCATAACTGCTGAAACACAGACCTGAATTCGAATCTTAGGTATGTATTCGGTCGGCTCGTGCTCTATTTCATATTCACTGCCTGCCTCGATTTTGGTGGGGTGGTCTGCGCTACATGTCTGCGACGACCCTTCAGATACTCTGCATGGGCCTTCTGAGCCATGTTAGGGCAATTCCTCCACCCCGCCCCCCCCCAAAAAAAGGAGTGCATGTGTGTGTATGTGTAAATATCTGTGTGTATTGGTGTGCGTGTATATATGTTTGGGTGGGGGTATTTCATGTTTTTTTATTTACTTTATTTTTTTAATGCCACGCGTCCCAGGGTGGTGCACGACGCGCGCATGCCGGGAGGGGTTGCAAGTTCAATTTTTTCCTGCCCCCTGCCACATGGCGCGTTTGAACGCGTTTGAACGCTCACAAAGGGGAATTGAACGCGCGCGTTTGAACGAGAACGCGCGTTCACGGCGTTAAAATGGTTACACAGGTAAGAAAGGGACAAACACGAAATAATTTGGCGACCAAGATGTAATCTTTGATATTTTTCACCAACATCTTGGTAAAAGAATAAATCATTGATGTCTTTCACCAACATCTTCTAAATGAAGCAGAGTATCTAGTCCTACGAGCATGAGTGTAAAGAATGTCCACAAGAGGACAAAGATTTCCCATGAGTAACACAGGAGCACAAGCTGAAAAGGAATAAAGGCAGCACGACGCTGCCGCGGTCGTACAAGAAACAAGGAGAATAACCCGAAAACAAACAAAGGCAGCACAAAGGTGGGATATTCACATCCGACATCTAAGCGTCCACGTAAAGATATCACACCACGTGGCAGAAAATAAGGAGAATAACCTGAAAACAAACAAAGGCAGCACGACATTGGCGGGGTCCTAAAAAACAGGGTGCACGAGGCCATGCCATTTGCATCGGGAAAACTAAAAAACCAAGAAAGTCAAAGATAGTCCCACGTGTAAAGTTGCCACATTCATCGAAATTAAGAACCCTAAAAAGTACTGCAGCACGAGGCTGGGATATTCACGTCGACATCTAAGTGTGCACTTGATAGACACCACAGCTCAAGCCGCCCGACTGTTAGACTAAGTGGGAATAGATTCACACTTTTGTTTATGGCCTTGTGAATAAAAAACGTTGCGCATTTTCAAAACAGGGATATTATTCTCAGCCTTGGATTATGTCCACCGCCATCCTCAGCCTGATATTCAGAATGATGCTTTGGCCTATCAGAAATGGAGGTGAATGACCGCGTGCCAGGAAAGAAGTGAAGGCGAGCATGAAAACACCGCAACTCGACCCGTGCGACTGTTGAGGGACACCATGAACAACCACCTTGGGCTCCAACAAATCCAATTTCGTGTGTTGACCAAATTGATGAACTGCTGTGTCGCAGAGGTATTTCGTGAAGTTCGCAAGTACACCGGAAGAAAAATCGTCATGGTCTTGCAGGAGGGAGTCGTAGTACTCCAACCCTCCTTCGCGAACTCATAATAGGGTCTAGTGCAGTCAATTTTTATGAACAGGAATGATTAGCATATTGTACGAAAAAATGTTGACATCTTTTGTCCATCTCGCAACCCTATCATGCGACATACCTCGTCGACGAGCTTCGTATAGAAAAACGGACTGAAAATATAAACAGAGGGACATCCCGGCAACGTAGCATTGCCAACCAAGGCCAAGTAGGACTCCACCACCTCGTCTCAAAGCCACCCCCCTGAACAAGAGTCTGAAGATTTTTCCTGCTCGACACAATAAAACTGGTCCCTTTGCGAATCGAGGAAACCACCTCGTGGCCGTTGCTGAAATCCCCGCAGACCTCCTGCAGCATTCTCAAGTCTGCACCGCTAAGCTCCTAAGTAGGCAACGACACGCGAAAAGATGACGTAGTCGCAGTTGCACAAACACCCAAGAACAAGTGTGAGGAGCCGCCAAAACCACTGGGGCGAACTGGTCAAGAACTGTGTGCCCTTTTTCTAGAAAATTTGTAACCCCGACTGCTGAATGTGTCTTTGGAGATGTACTTAGGACACGGGTCTTTGACGGTACCCCGTCTGGCGTCGTTATCAGACTCGTCAGACAAAGCAGTAAAGCTTTCGGTAGACGCAGTCACATGTTTCCGCAAAGCTTCCTCCTTATTTATTCCACAAGCCCTCAGAACCCTGACAGCTCGTCCGGAAAGGCGAGGCATCTGGACCCTTTTAAACAACCCTACAGTTGACGAGGACTTCTTCTGTGAAGCGGCCAATGACCTCCCTGAAAGCGATTTTCCGCGCATGGCTTGTGAAGGCTTCATGGGCAGGGACATTGACAACCTCACACCTGTAGAACATAGAAAACAACCCACAACCCACAAGCTTTTGTTTAAGAAGTGGTAATAGCCACATGAGCCCATCAATTCAATGTGGATGACCACAAAGTTGAACATGGACAAATGCGCGAGCGCTGCTGCTCACAAATCTTACCGTGCCCGAGAGTCCATCGAAGGGAATCGGCCTCCTGTCGCGCTACTGTGCCGACGTCCGTAGAGGATTCGATGTTCTGCATCTCGACCACCGCTGAGTCGCTAACCAGCTTGATGGCAGTTGAGTCGCTAACCAACTCCGCGGCTTCATGAAGCACCATTTCCCGACCGGAACTGAGGGCGGACGCTCGATCACCTTGCTCTTCACCGCAGCTGTTGGACTGAGAATCATGATCTGTCCGCGCCGAACCCATCTTACGAGCCGACACCTCACCGGCATGAAGCCCAACCGACACCTCACTAGCATAAAGTTGAACTCCCCCCACGGTATCTTCACCTGCCTCATCGTCATGAAGCCGACCCGACACCTCACCGCCAAAAAGCTTAGCTTCCCCTACGGGTTTTTCGCCTTCCTCATCGTCCTGAAGCCGAGTTTCCACCACGGGTTCTTCTTCGCCCTCCTCTTCGCCACGAATACGAGCTTCCCCAAACGTCCCATGACCTCCCTTAACGTCACCCTCTTGCGTCATCAGTGGCGACCCGCTGTGCAAAACCAAATCGGTGTCCCCGATGTTGATGGCATTTCCAGACGAGCCTTCGAGAAGCTCTTCATCCCGCTGCACAACATGCGTCTCCTCCAAAGCATGACCTTCGCACTCGCTAGCCTTTGTCTCCAACACTCCTACAGTGGGCCCCTGAACAGATGCCGCCGCACGCTGTAAACGTTCACCCTCTTCCAAGAGGTGCACGAGCAAGGTGTCATCCTGAACAGGACAAGCGTGTTGCGCACTGCGGCGACGACTGTCCTCAACGTCATGAAACGAAGTCCTTGCAGACAATTGCGAATCTACTCACACTTCATAAGACCCCACGGCGGCCTTGTCTCGCGTGTTGGAATCTTGACTCCCTTCGCAGTGGCTTTCACCTCTGCCCGACCCGACTTCCCGCTGCACAGCATGCGCTTCCTATGAGAGGTCCTCTTCCCCGAAAGTTGCTGCACTCTTGCTCTCAACATCGACGGACGCGCCCTCCGAAGCATGACACTGATGCTTGCTAGCATCGGTCTCAAACACTCCCGCATCGAACCCCTCCCACACTTCGTGAGGCAGCCAATGTTGAGTTTCCTCTTCCCGCTGCGCAGCATGCGCTTCCTGTGAGAGCTCCCCTTTTCCCCGAGGTGGTGCACTCTTGCTCTCTAAGTCGTCGAACGCACCCTCCGAAGGATGACGTAGATGCCCGCTAGCCCCGGTCTCCAACACTCCTGCGTCGAGATCATCCGGCACTCTGCTAGGCGGCCAGTTATGTGTCTCCTCTTCCCGGTGCACAACATGTGCATTCTGTAACAGCTCCTTTTCCCCCGGATCCGCAACACTCTTGCTCTGGAAATCGATGGAAGCACCCTCCGAAGTGTAACAATCATACTCGCCAGGCCTGGTCTCCAACACTCCTGCAACGGGCCCCTCCAGCACTTTGCGCTCGCCGGCGTCGTGAAACAAAGTCCTCGCAGACAAGTGCGAATGTACTCGCACTTGATAAGACCTTAGGGCCGCCTTGTCTCACATGCCCGAGTCTCGACTCCCTTCACAGCGGCTTTCGGCTCCGCTAGACTCGTGACTCCCGAACGCTCTACGCTTTCCACCCGGCCCCTTTCCGCCCGACCCCTTTCCACCCGATCCCTTTCTGCCCGACCCCTTTCCGCCCGGCCCCTTTCCGCCGGACCCTTTTTCTTCGGACCGTTTTCCACCGGAACCCTTTGGTTCCGATGACGTTTCGCCTAGCCCCTTCCCCTTTGCTTCGTCACCACCAGATCCTGAGCCGTCTCCTCCGTCACCTCCTCCACCGGGTCCTGCGTCGTGTCCTCCATCACCTCGCCCACCGCCTCCCGGATGCTGACCACCTGACGGAGGTTGCGGCATGCGCCAGTCAATGCCACGAGACGGTGCCATCTCCAGTGCGTAGAAAGGCGCTCTGTTGGCGTACAACTCATCTAGCTTTTGGTCTGCATACACATTGACGTCCGGCAAGCTCCTGTCGGGGTTCATAACCCTCAAATGCTCCACCAGAGCTTCTCTCGCTTTTTTCTTAAATGGACTCGCTCCCGGTCTGTTCATGCCACTCCACTCGCCATCGGCTTTCTTCATTGCCATGACCCACTTTCCAGTCTTTACAGCAGGTTGGAATTTCCTGGGGTGCCAGACGACGTTGTGGCCCCAGACATCCTCCGGCGTGAACCGGTGATGCTTTCCGTAGAAGAAGAGCCTGTCATTCTCCCAGGTATCATGGTCCCTAGGGAGCTTGTCACCAGGTTCGTATTCATAGTCTCTCTCTTCTTCCCCGTCATCAGAAGATTGGTCCTCGACTCTTTCACGCTCAAATACACGCTTCAAACTCGCAGGGACGTGCTATATCTCCGAGGAACACCTTCCCCTTCATCATCAACCTGTGCAACCACCCGAGGAAGTGGCATGGACTTGAAATCGAAGGTTTCGGAGTCGCTTATCTCCTCCATGTCCTCAGCGCCGAAAGGGTCCTCCTTGTCGAACTGCGCCTTGTAGTTTTCGAGGGTCAGCGGTTCGGCCATCAAGACGAAAACGTGCTCCAACTTTTTCAGGAAATTTGAGGAACACTCCCTCGGTGCATCGTGGTAACCATTCAGCACACTGAACACCAGGTTCCTCCATCGGTTGTATTCCAAGTCGGTCTGAGCAGGCGGTCCTGGTTGGAAAAGGAACTCCCAAACCTCCGTCCTTTTCTTCTCCGACAATTTCCAATACATGTCATGTTTGGGATCCCAATTCCGTTCGCCGGTGGTCTGGACAAAAGAGCAATGGTGGCGAGGGTCCCCCACATGTGTCTTGACGAACTCGCAAAGGTAATCGATCATCTTCGCCTCGTCCTCTAACACAACGACGTTCCGACCGCTGCGGAGGAGCTCCCACACGGTAGACGCGTGCGCCTTCCCGAAGAAAAAAACAGTTTGCCCAACTCTGCAAAAGTTCTTAAGCAGACCAAATAGATGAGCCAGGTTGTGCTCCCTGTCCCCGTAAGTAGCTCCTCAAACATTTGTCACGCCGCCGTCCTCCCACAGGCTACGAGGGAACCTGTCCTCGTCTGCGGCGTCGAAACAGGCCACAACTTGTCCTGACGGGTCGGATGAACAGGCAGCTTTCGAGTGGGCCGTCACCGCAGGTTTGGCCGGACTTGGAGCATTGGCACGAGGAGGCTTCCGTGGACTACTGGCCGGGAAGACTGCGACCGTGTTGTCTGCCAGGTTCTCACCATTGAAAACCACATACAGACGATCATACTCCTCGACCAACATGTTGCCTTCCTGAACAGTGCCCTTCCTTTGCATATGGCGCACCCACTTCCTGTACTGACGTGATGAACGCTAAGCTTGGTCATGCCTTTCAAGAAACTGAGCTCCCAACGAGAGGGGAAAAAGACGACAAGTGCCCAGTGCCTTGGCGATAGGGTTTGGAGAACGCCTTGCAAGGAGGCGAAATCGTCTTCTTGCCAATCTGAGAGGAGTGTGGGATCACAGAAATCGAGGACGTGCAAGTTGCACACGTAATGTTGCACAATCTCGCGGATCTCAGTGAGACGAGTGTGAGCCTGGGAAGTTGGACAACTGAAAGGAATTAAGCTGGTCACCCGGTTGATCTTGTGCCATTTGATGTGTCTCACATCCCCGCTGGCCCTGATCGTGTCTTGCACTTCTTCCTCAGTTCGTCGCAAGATGGAGCGGACAGACTTCTCAAAAGATTTAGGGAACCTCTCGTCATCGTACATTTTCTTTGTTTCGTCGAGGGACTCCTTCTCGTACAGAAGACACCGTTTGCAAGTGTTGACGTACTCCACCGCGCAGTGGAAATGCTTCCGCAGTTCGACCCACATCTGTTTCGTGAGGCCCCGTGGCGCGAACTCCGCCAGAAGTTGCTCTTCGGTCCGAAAAAACTGGCTCCCATTGCGTCCTCCTCGGGTAGTGAAAGATGCGGAGCATCATGCGGTCCTATTTCCTCGTTGCCACCATATCTTTAATTCCTGGCTTATGCTCACGTTTTAGATGCCCGCCCGCCGATTGCACGAACACTCCCCTCAGCGTGAGAATGTCGTCGAGGATCGACAGTTTTTCGGCATCGGTCATGTCAACGAGAGACTGCCAACAGAACATGTCTGGCTCCTTCACGATGACGAAAAACTTGTTGTCCGATTGCATTTTCTTTTTGGTCGGAGGCGGCGGGACCCGGACCAGCCACCCCATCTTCGTTTCACCAGCCATCCCTTTCGGGCCCATTTCCGGAATCGCTTGAAGACCCAGGGATTTGTCTGGCATGTATTTGCCCGGCTTCGACAAGGGCGTTTTCCCGTCTCCGCCCAACAACTTTCCCTCGGCCCATTTATCGTAGAACTCTATGCCTTTGCGAAAAACCTCATCACCGACCATCACGAGCGGCATCCATTGCCTCAATGCATTGCCAATGGCAGTGACGTGGTCTTGTCGGCGAGCGTTGTCGCATTACGTGCCATCGTCCAGTGAGCCCGTTTGGACTCTTTCCCAAAAGCAGCTTTTGGAAGTCTCCTTACCGGAAGGGTTCCCTTGAATGGCCACCGGCCTTCCTTGATTCTCCCATGCCTCCCGCATGTCCTCGAAAGCGGCCTTCTGCGCACGCTGCGTAGACATCTTGTGTCTTGTGTTCTTTGTGAGACTGACCTGCAAATACCCCTCAAAGTCTTCGTCGAAGAACCACACGGCTCTCGCCGGCCACGAGTGCATCTTCCACAATTCGAATATCGGCTCACCGACCAACTCCTTCATAGCAGCCACGGTGTGTTGTCCATTGACAGGGTAATAGAAGTACTTGTCCTTGTCCTCTGGCTTGAAGACATCCTTGTGAACCCTCTCAGCTCTCTCCGGCTTATGCGTCACCGACTTGTAGATGGGTGCTAGAACCAAAGGGTTTTTCGTCCAGATCTTCCCCTTTTCCTCATGGAACTGCCTTAGCATCGCACCCTTGATGTCCTCCACACCATCGAGAATGAGACTGTGGTGATTGTAATATCTTTCCCTCGGCGGGATGTCACAAACCTTCCTGGGGTCGATGAACAGTTGAATGGGGAGCTCCTTCTCCACGATCTCACCGTCATCGTTCTGCTCGTATTCGAGCCAAAACGCTGCCGCTTCGTCGTATTGCCTACCGACCGCCCTTTCGCCACCACTCATCCCCTCACCAGTCTTCCTCCTTCGAGGTTTCTTCTCCTCATCGCCTTCTTCAGCTGCCAGTTTCCTTTTGGATTTCTCTGAAGGTTCTCTCGCGGTGGCAATGCCTAGACGAGCCGAATCTCCTTCACCCATAGCTTGTCCTTCGCGGATGGTCAAACCGTCGGGCCTCCTTGCTTTCTTACTTGTTGTTGCACCCTCTTCCTTCGACTACCTCTTTTTGACTCCTTGTTCTTGTCCGCCATGCATCCCTGGTGTCCTCTTTCCCGAGGCACATTCTCCGACGTCACCTTCATCCACGCCAATCATCAGCTCCAAGTGTCCTTTCATCCTCTTCATTCGTCGGGTTTGTTTCGCCACCTCTTCTCGCACTGTCTTCTATCGCTAGCGTTTCTTCTCCGAAGAAGTCGGCTCCCTGCCAGAGTTGTCGTTCACAGCGCCCATCCCTTCAGCCTCATTCCCTCCAACCTCTTGCCCTGATCTTCCGGCCCTAAAACCCGGTTGTTTCCATGCCTTTTTTCGTCTCACATAAGTCGGGACGACTCTCCTAACTTTTCTTTTCACAGGACATCATTTAGATTTTCCTCCATCGGGGGCCTTGCTGCCGAGGCCTGACATTTTGTCGTTGCCCTGCCTCGGTTCTCAGGGTGGTGTCTGAGCCCAGTGGCTTTTCCCTTTGAGGATAGCCCTTTCGGCTCTCTGACACCCAAATGCCCCGGCATTCCTGGTGCGGGTGGTCTTCCTAGTTCCTTCCTGTCGCATCGTCAGGTAGGGCGGAACTCCAACCACTGCCACTCCCTTTGCTGATGGCTACCTTCTCGTCTTAATACCCATCCTTTAGTTTTCCCATCTTCCCCTGGCGCCTTTCCTTATGCTAATCCCTCAGGCCTGCCCTGTTCGTCCGGTTCCTCGGACAAGTCAGCCACCCCGACAAGGTAATTTTCTCCCATCTCTAATTCCCTGATGATTATTGGCTCGTATTCCTCAAACGACAAGCGGGGCAATCCGAATATCAAGATTTCGATGAGTTCAAGCAATTCCCAGGCCTGATTCCCCCAAAACGGACCATGTTTAACCGACACATCATAGAACATGCCCGTTGTCTGCAGCCGGACGTGGTGGATCCAGACCAGGGTCGAGTCCACCAGGTCCTTTGCCCTTGGGAGACTGCCGAATACCAGGTCTACCATGAACCGAGGCACTCGGCATCTCAGCCCTTTCATAGGGGCCTTAAACTCTCGCCGACCTCTTACCTCCACCCGGGTTCTCAATCCCACGTTCCTTCTTCCCCGCACCTCCTGGCCTACTCGGTTCAATATCCTAATAGCCCTCTGGAAAATTGGTAACAGCCCGTGCCCAAGCGCCAACTCCGTTCCTAGCATGTGCCATCCAAGCTCTGGTAGGTATACGATCCCCGTCACCCTAAGATCCATGTATAGATCGTCCCCAGGTCCCCTATTAATCCTCAAACCATCCCATAAGCATTCCACCATCATGAACGCCTGGTCCCTTCCCAAGGTTACGACTCTCCATTCGGTATCGATCCCTCGGACCCTGTAGCTTGCTGGGAGCGATACCTCCCATCCGTCTACGCTTTCCGAGGGGGGTCAGGGGTGCGTGGGCCGTCGCGACATCCGGGCGCGTCTCATCGCCATTTCGATTTAGCGGTCCCCTGCACAGTTTAAAACGCAAGCGTGCTTATTTCATTTATCCTTCGGCCCCTTACTTGAGTGACTCCCTGGTCCTTAGCTTGACGCTTCCTTCCCTCTCTATCCCCTTCCCCTTCCTCGACTCTTCTATCGGCCTGTTCCTTCCTCCATCGGCTCATACAATCGATGTAGGTCGTCTACGTACGTCATCCCCTGACTTATTTCCCGTTGGGCGACGCCCCACAGAACCTCACTGCCTACAACCGGAGCCCTTAGTCTGGTGGTAAACACGACGTGCAGAATTCGTAGCACCTCATACTTTTGTTCTCCGCTAAACGGCCCCATTTTTAGGAAGGCCCGATAGTATTCTCGGTGTACCATCATGTCTTCGTATGTCAAACTAGCGAGGTCGGTAACCGCCCGTCTGACAAGCTCCAGTCCGCCTAGCTTTTCTAGCAGAAAGGGCGGTAGCCTCATCCGAATGTTTACGCTAGGCAATTCAAAACTTTCGGCCCTAGCTACCCTGAGGTCTGCCGTTACATCATCAAATCCCGGATCTGTGAACTCAAATCCCGCCTCCCATACTAACTGCCATGCCCCTTCGAACATACTCAATGGATCTTCCCCTGACGCCAACAGAACCCCGAACTCGCGCCACCCATCGTCGGACACAAACAATCGCCCATCTGCACGCACATGCCCCCGCGGGTCCGGGTTCCACTCCCCATGCTCATCAGCACGCCACTCGACCCTCGTTACCAAGTAAACCATATTTCCCATGAGTTCAACCCCGACCCAATCCGCCATCGGGTGCCATCCCTTGCTCACGACCGGCAGGCTAACCTCTATCCCACCCCCTACTTCCCTAGGTGGCTCAATGCCTAGGGGGCGATCTTCAAGGAATGTCCTCCTTCGTGCCATTGCTCGCTTGTCCTTGGTCTTCTAGCTCCCAATCCGCACCGAACCCTACAGTGGCCAGACATCCCGTTCCCTTATCTTAGCAATTTTCCCATGCTTGCCTGGCCCTACCACTTTTCCCACTCTCAATCGAACCGCAGTACCTAGAACAGCTTAAACACATCATCTACATAGCAGGGTGTGGCAGCTACCTCGCGACGGATTATGGCCTCTCTGATTTCCGGGGCCACTTCCTTCCGGTCATTCCTTTCGATGTCCAAAATGATGAGGACCTCCCAGGCTCTATCGCCATGGAAGAGCCCAAATTTCAGGGACGTTCTATAAAATTCCTCCGTTAGCCAAGCGCAATTCACGTGCACCCGCCCCATAGTGCTGGCTACTTCCTCAACATGGTCGAAACCCCCAAACCAATCCGCTATGAACTCGGGTACCCAGGTCTTGATTCATTGGCAGGGGGGCCTAAATTCCTTCTACCATCCCATCACGACTCTACTACTGACCGCATCCCATCCTTTGTTAGCGAACCTCTCGCCCGCCCGTCGAGCCTTTGTCTCAGCATCCCCTAAAAGCCACATCGGGTTCTGCCTTGCCGCGAGCGTTGTGCAAAACAGATGCCAACCTTGTTCAGACAAAACGACCGTCTCGACCGACTCCACCCTTCCTTCCGCAATCTCCTCCCATCCTCCCTCTTCTCTTAGCGGGTTCCAGACACGTCGTATCCATAGGTACGACAGGTCGGGCACAATTTCAGACCCTACCCAATCACACGTGGTCCCTCTCCATTCATGATCTGCCGGTATAGACATTTCTACTCCCCCTCCGATCCTCCTCGGTTCCCATCCTTTGGGTGTACAGTCCCACAGTTCGCGCTCCCGGGCCATCGCTCCCTACCTGCACATAGCCGACAACCCTTTCCTGGGTAAGCCCCCTCCCCTTTTTTCAGAAGTCCCAGTCCTCCATCTCGTCTCCATCCTCATCATCACTGAAATCTCCTTCCCTGTCTGAGAACAGCTCTTTCAGTCCCTTTAAGAAGGTTCCGCCCACTGCCACATTCCAATAGATTATCTGCCAATGCACCGGGCCAGGAACAAAGACTTCATCCGCGCTGAGGAGGTTTAGTACCTCAGCTAATTCCTCCGCCCAGTTCCCTTCGAACGGCCCGGCTTCTACCGACAACCTAAAGAAATCCTGCCGAGCACACTGGTACAGCCTGAAGCGTGTCATCGACCGGCATATTTGCTCCAGCTTGTCCTTCATTCCGAAGACTACGTCCACCAGAAACGGGGGTAACACACACCTCATCGTCCTAAGGGGCCGCCTCATATTTCCCCTGTCCCCAAGTTCCACTCGCACCTCCATTTTGTCCATTTTCATTTCTGCCCACTAACAGGCCGTCCATGTCACTTCTCGTTCCGCTTGTCTAAACAGCCGTGTCGGTGCCACGCCCAATACCAATCCTATTATCACTGCGTTTTCCATCTCCTGGGACAGGTAGACCCACCCTCGGGCTTCCACAGTTCCCCGAAATTCTAAGTCCATCAGGCTTGGTGAGAGTCTCGTCAGGCTGACCTTAGTCCAAGTTGTCTCTATCCAGAGGAACACGTCCTTTTCATCCAGCATTACAGTTTCATAGGCTGGTTCCAGGTCTGTCCACGTTCCTTCCTCTGGGAAAAACAGATACCCCTTCCCTTACGTCTATTGGCATTTCCGGCCCACTAGAATAGATAGGAGATGAAAACCACCGCGCCATCTTGTTTTTCCGACGCCAGTCTTGTTTTCACAATCGAGCACCACATGGCCCCTCATGATCAGATTGTCTCCCCTTTTCTTTTTGATGAGAATGGTTTTCAGACCCCTCATCCGGGTCTCCCTAGTATTCCCTACCCTTTTCCCTAACGTTGTTGCCCCGTCACCCCTCAATCGACCATCCTTAGTCGGCATTGCTTTCTCATGGTTCCTTTTCCTTCTGACCCCTATCCAACCTTATCCTTATGTTCTCTCTCTCGTGCGGACTTAGATAGTAGGTAAGAATAGACTTAGAGGCTCAGTCCCCAACCCAACATCCACCAGGCAAACTTTACAGTGGGAGGCACAGTAAAAAGAAAAACTCAAGCAATCATCGGCACACAGGCCGGTCATCTCCTCACCGGCCTTTTCCCAAAAGTGGTCTCTCCACTGTTACTATCGGCAGAGTTTTATCCCGTACCTCAAACACAGCTCAACCGTCGCGAGCGCGGTACCGTGACTCCAGTGGGGGGTCACCCTCACCTTCGTGCCCAAAATACCCCATCCCGTATTGCCGCCTCTGCTCATCCATACCGACATCAAGAATCACCCCATGTGCCTAAGTACAGGGACAAAGGTCAACCGTCCGGGCATTCACTTCAATCGATCCGACAAGGAACAACCTTTCCCAAAACTACGATAAGCTACTAATCGTCTCCGAGGCTCCGTCTTTGCTCGCATGCAGCGGTACTCCCTCCGCCAGTCCACAGGCTAGGCCCCGCCTAAAGAAACGTTTCACACCTTGCCCGGCAGATCAATCGAGCCGAAGCCCGTCACCGCGCGGAGGAGGATGTTACTAAGCAACCAACGTGACAAACTCCCGTTAGACAGCTCGGTGGCCTGACCCCCACATACGAACAAACGGCAACCTGCAAAAGAGAACGACGTTTGGCAACCCGCAGTGGCCGGTGCAGACCCCTCCTTTCCTTCTGAAAGGCAGGACGCTCAATATCCCCAACACGCAAACACAAGTCCCAAGTGGGACACACATAGTATGAGTGCCTTTCCCTTGGTGCACCCAGCGCTTCCTACCCATTGCTCACAGGTTTTCACTCAGGACAGTGTGTGCCACTCACCCCTAACTTCCACACATAGTGCCCGGTTCTTTTTCGTGAGCATCTTCAAAGGTGAGCTAGTTTTCTTGGAGTCTAGCAACTCCCTTCATTCCCCTTATCTTCACTTCATGTGTCTGTTCATAGGGCAGGATTGTTCCTTCTCGATTACCCTTTGTGTTCATATGAGGTTCCTTCAAGCATTTAAGTGCGGTGCACGGAGCCCGCTGGGCTCCGAAGAAAAGGAAAGAGAGCACCCGTGTCGGTCGGATCACTCTGCCGCGGGATTTTCATCGGAACCCGGACTAGCCTGCAATCCCAATCGCCTGCCAGGTAACCGGAGCCCTTCTTTCATACGAAGAGGAAGGGTCGACCTGCGGCTTGCCCGAGGCTTCCCCGGTCTGACGAACATCAGCCCGAAGGAAGGAGGACTAGAGTCACCTCCAAGGGAGATGGCTGATCAAGTGTGCAAGCATGCATGTTATTCCTCTAGGCCTGGCCTTGCCATGCGCCCAACCACCCTCAAATCTGATTCACTCAAGGGATAGAGCATACACAAGTCCTCGTTCCTTCTCTTAATGTTTATGTTCACGGTCATGCGTCGGGCGCCCCCCTCGAGACCGTATGGGTCAGTTTAACCCAATACCCGGCATCTCCACCAATTTTGTAGGGGCCGTACCCTAAAGGACTTTCGAGCCTTGGTCGACCCCACTACCGGTCCCATTTGGCTCGACCCGCCCACACTCACGCTCAGGGCGCGGGTTGTTCGTCCCAGGGGCACACCCACCTAGTGCTATGAGATGGATGGGGACGGGCCATCTGCGAGAGGGTTTTACATTGGGGGATGTAGTTCCGCTCTCGCATCAAGATGGTAGCTCTTTGGTCACTCGTGGCGTTTTCTTGATTCAATTAAGTCTGACCAGGCAGTTGCTCCTTCCAATACCCAAGCAATCCAGGGAGTTTATTGAAGATTTGTCTTTTTATCATGCGTAGGCCAAGCGTCATCCATTGGGCCACGCACCTTTTCACTAAGTTTAGTGGCTCAAGACAACCCCTACGGCATCCTTGGGGTAGGGTGGCATCGCCCGGACCCCTAGTCGCTATATTTCTTTTGCTTGAGCCACTAGCATTGCATTCACCTATCCAAGACTGCCCTTAATCGTTCCGGGCTTGCATTGCATTCAAGAGAGTCGTCGCATTCAATCATCACACAAGCCACATCCAGGCGTCTACCACTCATCCAAGCATCCGACCATCAAACCCATCCTGCATTCATAGTTTAAGCGAGGTCTAGGCCCTTCCCTCGTCGCTTTCCCTATTCCCGCCCACATCCGGCGGACGCAGTCCCGCTCAGACCACCCTAGGCTACTCACCTGCGCAAGACCACACAAAGCAAAGGCCAAGTACAATCCCCATTAGGGTCAACACATCGCCCCTCCCACAAGCCTAAGTTCCCTTTGCCTTTGATGATACTTTGGTTATCTTTCCCTTCACTCAAGCAAGCAATGGCTTCACCTTAGTCATGCAGTCGGGGAAGATGGTTGAGTCAAACTGACCTTATCACAAAACTTCACTCTTTCCCGCTTCCTCGGATGCTTACAAAAGTCCGGTACCTTCTCTTTCTTGGTGGCACAAGGGACCAGCAGCCCTCCCCTTGCCCTCGCTTTCCACCAAGTGAGGATCAAGTTCTTTGCCATTAGTTCCCTGGCAATGTAACAGGTGAGGGAAGAGGTTAGTCACATGCCATGGAGGGGAAGGGGTGAGAAGGATAAGGGTTAGGCGTATAGGGGGCGGAGGAAGAAGAAGGAGAGAGAAGGAGAGAGAGAGAGAGAGAGAGAGAGAGAGAGAGAGAGAGAGAGAGAGAGAGACTCCTTCCGTCCTAATCGACCTTGCTCCTTGACTTATCCTAACCGGCCCTACCTAAGATCCCTTGCGCCCCTCGGGACCCCCTACGCCCCTTGAACGGATGAGGGGCGATGGAGGTGGAAGAAGGTAGGTGGAGGTTGGCTAGGGTGCTGGTGACTTGGGTGTAAGAGGTGGGGATGTAGGTCTGGAGTGTGGGGGCTTTGGGGTAGGTGCTGCAGAAGGGCCAGAAGAGGGGGGAACAGTCTGAACAGGAGTAATCTGCAGCTGTTTGGAAATGTTGTTCAATTGAGCAGAGATGTCATCCAGCTTCTTTGACAAAGCTGAATGACTGGTCTCCAGACCTGAGATTCGGTCATCCCAGTTAGTAAAGTAGGACCGGTGAATCTCATCCTGCAGAAGGATGAATTCTGCCATGTCCTTACTTGCCTGACTGGTCGTACCGAGGCTCATAATCCTCTGCATATCTCCAATCAACACTTTTCTTCTGGCCTCTTTCTGGGCATACTCTTCCTTCCTCTTGAGCTCTGCCTTTAGGTTCTCAACTGCCTGGGTCTGCAAGCGGAGTTTCTCCTCTTGGTCCCGCAGTTCAGCCTCTAAAGGGTCAGGCGGTACAGGTGTTACAGGCTGCACTTTCATCTCAAGCTTTACCTGGGGTGTCTCCCCAGAACTCTCAACTCCAGCCTTCCCTGACTCCGCCATACTGCACCCCACAATACAGACAAATAAACAAACAACAAATAACAATCAAAGAACAGACAGGAGGTAACAGGAGTTGGATGTTCTCTGCAGTACTAATCCAATTGCTGTCACCTGCCTGGAGAGAGAAGACTGGTTAGTCTGAGCAAGTGAGTGCTCAGTCTCAGCAGACCGCTTGAGGGTCAGGGTCAGTTCAGAGTCCACTCAGGCAAAAACCAATTTCACGATTTTTCCATCCCTGCCCTGACACAACAATTGCACGCAATAATTGCAAATCCTGGGTCAACAACTGACAGGATGCATTCTTGAACTAATTAGTGTTGATTAGTAATCAGACAGAGTGACTAATTAGGGTTAGATAGGTATCTACTGATGACCAAGATGCAGCGATTTACACGAAAACCTATTTTTAGACCTACCCTGTTGACATCAACACTGTATGACCCTGGATGCCATACTGGGGGTATGGCGAATTACAGCAACCACTGTAACTGACTCAAAACATCAAATCTGATTGTGCGATTCCAAACACTGCTAGAATATTGAATTGCGATTTACCAGGGACTGACAGAACTGAATTCTGACGGGCAGAATCAAAGGTATGACCGACCCTAGTCTACCATAGCTTCGGCTATGTCAGCGCAGAATTCAAATTTGCAATATCACTAACAAACTGGCCCTGAACAATCCAATTCACAGTATGATATAAATCGCAACACTGTACAACAGTAGCATATGAACTTTGGGTCAGAGGGGAGGTCAAACAGGGTTAGTAGAGGTCAAAGAAGATAGGTAGGAGAAGTTGGATATGGCTGTCCAACAGTCTGAATTTCGATTTTCAACTGTCACCTGACAGACAAACCAAATTTCCCTGTTCTAAAAATAACCCCAGAATCGCCACACAGGATGGAGTAAGGAACACACTCACTTCAGGGTCAACTTTGAAGAAGATGCATGAAATCATGGCTATGGCTGAATAGTCAACCCGGTCTCGCCAGTTTCACCTCCTAATAGTATACCGTGTTCCCACGTACAGAATTCTTCCAAACTTGGTGACCCAGTAGAATTCCCTGAGGCGCTTCACCCCCAATTAACAGATTCAACGAATTTGGACTCCCAGGTGCTGATAACTGGTCCAAACAGTACAGCGCCACATCACCCTACACAGCGCTGATTAGAAATTGGGGATCCTGACCCAATTCCAAAATTGCAACCTCCTGGGATCACTTCCCTAACAATCGCAAACCTCCAGGTGAATCGCCAGGCTATAATTAGCCTCCCAGAGCCTTCTGGGCCTCTGGATTATCAATCACCACTCACTCCTGCATAACCCTAGCCAGGAGTGTGTCACCCTCTGCCAGTTGCTTCTCGCCACACACTCACAACCACCACCCTACTGACAACAACCCTGAAGATGATGATGTGTGCTCCAACTCATCAATCAATCCAGAGTCTGGATCCAATAGCTCCGATACCATCTGTTATGATTTTGGTTGTTCGTTGCATGAAGGCCAACACTCACTCACATAGACTTCTGCACATGCCCATACACACACAGAAGGAAGGGGAGAGGATCGCAGTATCACACCGCACAGGGAGAGATAAACACAGCGGAAGACTTGACCATGCGATATGACAGGGTACACTGAAAGTGCAATTCACTCTAGTCAATCCTCACAACCAGTCATAGAGAAAAGTCGAGCAGATCACATCCAGGAAACAATGAAACGATGATAGTCCCAACACAGTTACACACTGTTTATTAAACTTAGAGTCTCGAAATGTCAGGATCACTCCAGAACTACAGTGCGCTGCTCAGAATTGAGCAGCGCTTCAGTCTCCAACCCTGCAGAACACCCGTAACACCCCCTGAGTCTTGAAACATCAAGCGCCACCCAAATACAGCCTCCTGGGGGCGGCGCTACCCTGAACCAGGCCTCTGAGGCCAAGCGCCACTCAGAGCATGAAGAAGAAGACCAGCGCCACAGTATCTGATGATGACGAAGTGTCGGGAGGCTTCCCGGGTGGAAGCCTGCAGCAGCGTCACCAAACCCTGACAAGATGACCTCTGAGATGAAGATGCTGCAGCTATGGCTGCAGCGCAAACCCTCTGGGACCCCACTCCGGAGGAGGGTCCAGCAGGGCACCAATCTCTCTCACCTCCAGCAGACCTCGATAACCCAGACCTCTGTCAGCCCCTACGTGTTGGCAGAGTACAGCGTAGGTCCCAGCCATGGCCTGCGCTCCGAAGGTCTGGCTATGCCCGTCTCCTTCCACGCTGATCCGTCATTACTTCTGGTTCACACGTAGCGCAGCAGCGATGTACACGGTACCAACTGCCAAAAGCCCTGAACCGATGTGCCCATCCTACTTCTAGCCTACCCCGACCTAGACCGGACTGACTGACCGACCGGTACCGTTTCTGTTTCGGCCTCTCGGCCTCTACCGGACCTGGCTATAGGCTATAGGACCGTCTATTCAGAAGAGGCCCATAGGGCCTGTCTGTCTAGGGATAGCCCGGGCCTGCTATCCGCAATTAGGGTAGCTGTAGGGAATCGGGTTCGTATCACCCTGTCTTTTCCCGGTTTTGCAGATATGTCCCTCAAGAATTTCCCTCACAGGTAGGTCTCTCGGTTAGCCCTCAACCAAACAAAATTTCGAATCTATCCTACCTATAGTACAGCCTCGATAGAGAGAGGCTACAGACGACCAGAAAACAGCAAATCATTGCACATCAGCGAGCTCTCATCATCCAGCATACACCCCGTATGTCACCACATAGCTTCCTGGCGCGCCCACAAGACCCTGGGCCGCCTTATGTTCAACGCCCAAGCCTTATCACTGCCCCACACCTCATGCGAAGCATCGAACAGCTATTGCGAAGAACCAATAAAGTGCAATATGAACCAGCTCCGATACCAAATTGCAAGGAAAATGAGCAACAGCGAGATGACAATTCCAGATTACACCATCACATTGAAAGCCAGATAGTCACACCGTGTCCAGAGAGCAGCATTGCACAAATTATACACCAATGGAGGTTCGTAGTACTGAAAACCAATGTCAAGGAGAGCTTTCTCTCTCCGCGAACAACACAAGAGTCCAGTCTCTTCACACTCCTACTTGGCGCTCAGCGCCCAGCCTACTCCTACACAGCTACGATCAGCCTACTAATTGACAATGCAACTGTTGACATCAGCGGCAACCCGAAGTACTTGAAGATGTCGCCCAAATGCAGACCATCGCCAAAGCAAGGGATGTGCCCTCACATCATCATCATCATCATCATCCTTCACCCTTCATTGACTATACACCCACGTCTTCCTCCCTTACACCCGAAGACCACTCATGCGCCTCACTGTAGTCCAAGCCCACCAGCTATGGCGCTGCCCTCAGCAGCGCCCTTCTTCCCTGCACGACCGCACGTGCTGCACCTCGCCTCTCAGCGCCAGCAGCAGCCCACGAGCCTTTGCTCCAGCAGCGCTGCCGCTAGCATGCGAGTGCCTGAATGAGGCTCCGAGTGGCGAGCTCTTTCCTATATGGAAAGAGCCTGCCTGATTCGCAGCCTGGCTGGACTTGGCCTGGGTCCAGAAGCTTCCGGTAGGCCCCAGGATGCTGCGTGCTACTTTGCAGCTACTGGGCCTCTGTTGGTTGGGCCTCCCAACTGTCAGTGTATGAGGCTGCGTTTCTCGTCCAGGGCCTGCGTGCTTCAGAATGGCCCAGAAGGCCGCGGAAATGTCTTGGTTGGTCGGCCTGTGTTTCGCTCAACTAACTGGCGCATCGCAACTGCCTGGACCCCAAATATGAAATTGACAGTCAAAGGCCTCTTGTGATAAGTTAGGCCTGCCTTCACTTAGGGCGCGCACCACTGCAACCGGGGCCCCTTAGGCCTGCCGAGGATCCAGATCCTCGCACTTGAATAAGAGAGGGGAGATAAGGAGGAGGGGATGATTGGCGAAGAAGGGGGAATTGTTGTTGGTCTTTTGCTGGTGTACATCTTCTTCTTCTTTCTTTCTGCTTCATCTTCTTCTTCTTTCATCTCGGTCTCCTCTTAAGATCATTCATTTCTTTTTGCAATTGGATGGCATCGTATTTCCTTGTGAATTTGCAGTTCGAAATTGGCAGAAATCGTAGCAAATTCAAAAAGAAAATGATGAGGCCTAAGGGGTGGCGGGGTTTGCAGTGGGGCAGCCCGACACACCCTCAGCACCCCAGAACCCCCTCTACGGCCCCCCTCCTGCCCTTCCCCATCTGTGTGTTGTGCTCTTTCTTCTTCTGCCTCCGTATTTCGTCTTCTTCTACAGTTCTATTTCATGCCGCGAGCATTGGTGAGTTTCCGCATCAGCACGAGGACATGCGAGCAGGACACGCCAACAGTTACACGCCAACACGGCACGATAGCGACACGTCAACAGGATATCCTCAGCTTGGACCACGTGGTCAAGCATCAGCAGGAGTCCATCAAACGACTGATTGACCTTGTGGAGACTTTTGAACAACGCTCTTGATGTCGACGTTGGCCCCTCCAACATCGTGGATCACATCAACTCTTTTTAGGTGGATGTGGACTCACTGAAGGACACCGTTTGACAGCGTGCAGCGAACGACCAGCAGCTTGATGATGCCAACAAGCTGCTGGAGCAGCACATCAAGATTGTTGCAATGACCGACCCGTCCAGGTCACCTTCCACTCGGCCTCCCAAGTTGGACAACATTTCAGTCTTCTGCGATTTGTCAAAGACTGAGCCGCAGTTGTGGTAGAGGTAGTTCATCCTTCGTTTGGACATGCATCACGGGCTACCCAAGGACTGGTATGGATGTCTCTACCACCAGTTGGATGGCACATGGCAAGCTCAGTTTGACCATAAGGTGGCCGTCTCCGAGCTGCATACCAAGATCAGTTGGGACGATCTTGCAGAAACATGGCATAAGCAGTTCCAAGTGGAACCACCCGAGCTCAAGGCTATGGACAAGCTGCGGACTTCATTTCAAGAACCTCTACCGAGCACGGACTGGATCGCGAAGTACCAACGCTTGGCATCAACACCTGACTTGCCGCTGAACTTCATGGGTGTCAAGCACTATTTCATCACACGCTCATGCCCGATATTTCTAAAATGCACTCACGCAAGTCGCGGAGACACTCACCACCAGTGGACTTCTCTTTGCAAGGCCTTATAGATTATTCTGACAAACACGGTGGCTCGCAGTGACCGACGTGCACCTTCCTCAGGCCTGAACAAGGGACAGCAAAGGCCGAATGTGGCCAAGGTCGCAGCAACTTTGCAGACCACTCGTATCAACGGGGCTGCTATTTCGGATGAGGGAGACATGGTGGCAGCCACCTGGGATTGTGGCTATCCACGGAAAGGCAAGGTGCGCAACAAGAAGAAGATGTGCACCTCTTCATCTCCCGGGACTGGCACACTGTTCAACCACCTTGGC